TGAGATGGGGACCAATACTCGGTATATTATAGACAAAAGAATAATGATTAGCAGCAGTTCAGAGTCAAGTTTCATGTTTGCAATACAAAAGAACCATTCAATTTCCATAATCAGTCTTTTATGGGAAGTGTGAATGGCTCATAGTCTGCAAATTTTAGCATTATGTGAAAAATAAATATTGGAGTCATCACAACACAAACCTGTTTGTTGCTTTATTTTATTATTGTTCATTTATTATTAAACTGGGTAAATTATTACACCTTTTCATATTTTGTGGTGTAATTATTTAATTTTGATAAAAACAGGTTTATTAATGTATGTTCTTTTGCTGTTTCATATATTGTATACCTTTTAAATTCACTTATTGAAAAAACAGCAGTAGCAGTAGGGTATAACAACATTTATTGCAACTTCTTGCCGCCTTATATATCTCCACTCTTTCCTTTCATTCTTTTCATGGCTTTGGAAAACTTGTCTCTGGGTTATGCAAAAAGTGATGTAGAGAAACATCTGAGTCGTCAACACCAAGCTTTGTTGCTATTTCTTTCTAGGAATTAAATGCCTTCTCCAAATCTTTAAAGTCTCTCCGCGAGCGATTGTTGAATAGCTGAGTAGGTACAAATGTATCTGCACTTAAACGGTGTATTCATGTTGCTAATAACTTGGTGTTGTTCTCCTGTCTGACCTCGAGGAGAAAAAAACGAATGAAACGAGGGAGAAAAAAATCTCACGTCAAAGAAGGTGGCGTTCGAACTTCGTTTTGGCCTGATTTTGTTCGAAATTACATCATATCAATTCGTTCTTGGATTTGGTTTGAAGTATATCGGGGCCTTGAGACTCCCTCTGCAGGCATACTTTGTTCAGCTGCAAGACTCTCCATCTCTGCTGCAGCTTTGTCCTTCATCTAGTCTACTCTCTCTGCTTGTATGAATGTAGTTTTAAACCGAGTGTTGAGAAGGGATGCCATGTCAAGCAGCTCCTGGCTGGATTGGTCTGCATATTTCTCATTCAGATAGCCAAGAATTCTCACCTTGATGTCCTTGGTGAGCTGGGCATCGTAATCCTGTGGTTTAAGAACCTGCTCATTGAAAAGATGAAGCACAGGTTTCAAGTATGAAACACTCACATACTGTTCCCCAGACAAAGCATCTGTGAACTCCACCACCCATAAAACGGGAAATCAATTTATATAAGGGCATTAGAAAGCAATTTATATACTTCATTTTCATCTGTAAGCAGTTAAAAGTGTGAGATTGACGTGCAAACATAATTTCTCAGCTGAAGGTATCTAAAAAATGCGTTGATGGAAGATCAAATTTCTCCTTAAGCTGATAAAATGTGGCAAATTTACCATCAACGTACAAGTCTCTCACGGTGACCATTCCTTTGCCATCTACCACACTGTCCACATTTTCAGTTTGGTCTAGCAATGCAAATGCTTTCCGTACCTGATACCATATTTTGAGAGCGCTACCAAGCACAATGTTTGTGTTGGCCACTTTTTTGAGTGGTACAGGCGCCATAAAGAAGAGAGAGAGTAGTTTGTAATACTCTGTTCAATGGCGAGCCAAGATAGAATGTTATCTGCAGGCCCCAGATGATGAGATTTTTTTCCAGTATGATAAGGCTCTGCAGTTTGCAGCCCAATAATAATGCTGGAAGTTTGGCAAGCCTGATCCTCTCATCAACCTTGGTTTACAAACATGTAACTTAGAAATACGGTGTGCTCTGAAGCCCCACACAAATGGCAGGACAATCAAATCCAAGGTTTAAAAAATAAAAATAAAATTGGGCACGAAAATTGGCAGGTTTTGAAAAAGGTAAAGAAATCTGTGCAATGTCACCATCTTGATTGCATTCGCGCGCCCTACCATAGACAGTGGGAAGGTCCTCCAGCTTTCAATATTACGTTTCAAGTTCTCTAGCATAGTTAAGTAAGTTAAGTAATTTAATTTATATATATCCTTTGCATTTTTTGGTAAAGTGACCCCCAAATATTTCAAACTGTCTGCTGCGATTTTAAAATGTAGGTTTTGTATGAAGCCAGGGTCAATTTAATTGTAAATTGGCAAAAGAGTGAATTCATGCCTGTTACTAGAGTATCCAGAGAACTTTCCAAAAGTCTCCAGTAAGTCTAATAGACCATTCTGGGTCAATAAGGTAAAGAATAATGTCGTCAGCATAAAGAGATATATGGTGTTCTAAGTGGCCTATCTTAGGAAATGAAATAACTGGGTTATTTCTTATAGCAACCACAAGGGGCTCTATAGCAATGGCAAAAAGCAAGGGTGAAAGCGGACACCCCTGCCTAGTGCCTCTATGTAATGTGAATTGTGATGATTTATCGAAATTAGTAAGCACTGAGGCCCTGGGTTTGGCATAAAGCATTTTCACCCATAGAGAGAATGATTCACCTTGATCAAATTCTTGGAGCACCGAAGTCATATAATTCCATTCAATTTGGTCGAATGACTTTTCGGCATCGACAGATAAGATGGTGACATTTAAATGAGAATCATACTTTGAATATAAAATGTTCATTAAGCGTCTAACATTAAAGGAAAAGCGCCCTGGGATGAAACCGGTCTGATCGGAGTGAATAATTTTAGTTATACGTTTATTTAGTCTATTCGCAAGGATTTTCATAAAAAATGTAAGATCTGAATTCAGAAGAGCTATGGGGCGATATGATGCTGGATCCATTTCATCTTTCCCTTTTTTAAGAATTAAAGAAATGTTGGCATCATACATTGTGGAAATTTCCTAATTTTCAATAGAATGGTTAAATAATCTCAACATCAGGAGAGCAAGTTTTTGAGAGTATTTCTTATAAAATTCAATTCCGAAACCGTCACGTCCGGGGGCCTTTCTGCTATAGAAATATAGTTCATTATTAGTTCAAGTTCATATTCAAGTTTATTTGTAGAGCTTTTCACGATACAAATCATTGCAAAGCAACTTTACAGCAAATTAAGTTTCTACAATATTTAGTTTCTACAATATTTAGTGGTAGCTTATCAGTGGTGACTGTCAGTAAATGTACATATGGCAGAAATGTACGGAAAAATTGATTAAAGACGCGTTCATGTTAACTAATGTAGATAGTACATTGGCCAATGGCCAAAACACTGTAACCTCGTCCAGTCGACGCTCCTCCCGCAATCCCCATGACTGAAGCACTTCCTTTAATATATTAGTGGATATACTCTCTAGCTTAAATGTTGGTAAATGTTTTGATGTCTGTTTCTTTGTGCTATTTAACTGGGCTAACTTACATTTGTCTTTTTTCACCATAGACCTCATGCCGCTGAAAGAGGAGTGCATAGTACCGACTGAAACGGAAGAGAAAGAACAATATGAGACTCATCATGATTTTAAAACCGGAGCAGAATCTTTCAGTTGGCCACAGATTAAAGAGACTTTCTCACAGAAAACAGCTCATGAAACAGGAACTACAAGTTATTTCACCCCTTTTCACTGTGAAAAGAGTTTCGATGAACATGGAAACCTTAAAGGCCACATGAGAGTTCACACTGGAGGTAAGCCTTTCACCTGCCAACAATGTGGAAAAAGTTTCAATAGAAAAGGAGTCCTTAACAGGCACATGAGAGTTCACACTGGAGACAAGCCTCACACCTGCCCTCAATGTGGAAAGAGTTTCGATCAACATGGAAACCTTAAAGTGCACATGAGAGTTCACACTGGAGATAAGCCTTACACCTGCCAACAGTGTGGAAAGAGTTTTGATCAACATGGAAACCTTAAAGTGCATTCAAGAATTCACACCGGAGAGAAACCATATTCCTGTCTTCAGTGTGGAAAGAGTTTTACTCAAAAAGTAAACCTTAAAGTCCACATGAGGACTCACCCAGGAGAGAGTTGTTTTATCTGCCAAAAGTGTGGAATAAGCTTCATTAAAAAAGGATTTCTTAATAGACACATGAGAATTCACACTGAAGAAAAGTGTTACGTGTGCCATCAGTGTGGAAAAGGTTTCAACCAAAAAGGAGACCTTAACTGGCACATGAGAGTTCACACTGGAGACCAGCCTTACACCTGCCCTGAGTGTGGAAAGAGTTTCGCTCAATATGGATACCTTAAAGTGCACATGAGAATTCACACTGGAGAGAAGCCATACACCTGCAAACAGTGTGGAGTCAGTTTCACTCATGAAGGAAGCCTTTACAGGCACATGAGAATTCACACTGGAAGGAAGTCTTTCACCTGCCAACAATGTGGAAAAATATTCAATAGAAAAGCAAACCTTAATTACCACATGAGAATTCACACTGGAGAGAAACCATACTCCTGTCTTCAGTGTGGAAAGAGTTTTACTCAAAAAGTAACCCTTAAAGTCCACATGAGAATTCACACTAGAGAGAGTCCTTTTATCTGCAAACAGTGTGGTAGAAGCTTCATTCATAAAGGATTCCTTAACAGGCACATGAGAATTCACACTGGAGAAAAGTGTTACGTGTGCCATCAGTGTGGAAAAAGTTTCAACCGAAAAGAAAATCTTAACAGGCACATGAGAATTCACACTAGAGAAAAACTTTATACATGCCCTCAGTGTGGAGAGAGTTTCGATCTACATGAAAGCTTTAAAGTCCACATGAGAGTTCACACTGGAGAGAGTCCCTTCACCTGCCAACAGTGTGGAAAAAGTTTTACTCAAAAAGGAAACCTTAAAAGGCACATGAGAAAATTACACTGCATTTATTAAACACAAGCTTGATCAACACACGAGGATTCATTTGAGAGAACTGTTTTATGTCATCAGTGTGGAAGGAGTTTCTCAGACAGGAATCCTGTAATAATGTTATGATGTGTAGGAAGCTCAGAAGTGAAGACCAGGAGACTCTGCTGTATATTCAGCAGGATTCTATATTGAGAAGGTGCTGTGTGGCACCGTTAGAGTTGGGGTACTCGATCTTGGACTCGATTATTAACAACGGATTACCTCAATGTGGAAAGAGTTTCGATCAACATGGAAACCTTAAAGTGCACATGAGAGTTCACACTGGAGAGAAGCCTTACACCTGCCAACAGTGTGGAAAGAGTTTTGATCAACATGGAAACCTTAAAGTGCATTTAAGAATTCACACCGGAGAGAAACCATATTCCTGTCTTCAGTGTGGAAAGAGTTTTACTCAAAAAGTAAACCTTAAAGTCCACATGAGAACTCACCCAGGAGAGAGTTGTTTTATCTGCCAAAAGTGTGGAATAAGCTTCATTAAAAAAGGATTTCTTAATAGACACATGAGAATTCACACTGAAGAAAAGTGTTACGTGTGCCATCAGTGTGGAAAAGGTTTCAACCAAAAAGGAGACCTTAACTGGCACATGAGAGTTCACACTGGAGACAAGCCTTACACCTGCCCTGAGTGTGGAAAGAGTTTCGCTCAATATGGATACCTTAAAGTGCACATGAGAGTTCACACTGGAGAGAAGCCTTACACCTGCAAACAGTGTGGAGTCAGTTTCACTCATGAAGGAAGCCTTTACAGGCACATGAGAATTCACACTGGAAGGAAGTCTTTCACCTGCCAACAATGTGGAAAAATATTCAATAGAAAAGCAAACCTTAATTACCACATGAGAATTCACACTGGAGAGAAACCATACTCCTGTCTTCAGTGTGGAAAGAGTTTTACTCAAAAAGTAACCCTTAAAGTCCACATGAGAATTCACACTAGAGAGAGTCCTTTTATCTGCAAACAGTGTGGTAGAAGCTTCATTCATAAAGGATTCCTTAACAGGCACATGAGAATTCACACTGGAGAAAAGTGTTACGTGTGCCATCAGTGTGGAAAAAGTTTCAACCGAAAAGAAAATCTTAACAGGCACATGAGAATTCACACTAGAGAAAAACTTTATACATGCCCTCAGTGTGGAGAGAGTTTCGATCTACATGAAAGCTTTAAAGTCCACATGAGAGTTCACACTGGAGAGAGTCCCTTCACCTGCCAACAGTGTGGAAAAAGTTTTACTCAAAAAGGAAACCTTAAAAGGCACATGAGAAAATTACACTGCATTTATTAAACACAAGCTTGATCAACACACGAGGATTCGTTTGAGAGAACTGTTTTGTCATCAGTGTGTGGAAGGAGTTTCTCAGACAGGAATCCTGTAATAATGTTATGATGTGTAGGAAGCTCAGAAGTGAAGACCAGGAGACTCTGCTGTATATTCAGCAGGATTCTATATTGAGAAGGTGCTGTGTGGCACCGTTAGAGTTGGGGTACTCGATCTTGGACTCGATTATTAACAACGGATTAAACATGGACTCAGACATTTTGGACTCAGGAAATGGTCGAGTCCACATCATGTGTAACATTAAAGGGATAGTTGACCCAAAAATTTAAATTCTGTCATTAATTACTCACCCTCATGTCGTTTCAAACCCCAAAGACCTTTGTTCATCTTCAGAACACAAATTAAGATATTTTTGAGGAAATCCGAGAGATTTCTGATCCTCCATAGACAGCAACGGAAGATAAATGTTCCCAGGCCCAGAAACGAAGTGAGGACGTTGGTAAAACTGTCCATGTGACATCAGTGGTTCAACCATGATTTTACGAAGCTACGAGACTACTTTTAGTGTGCCAAGAAAACAAAAATATCGACTTATTCAACACTTCTCCTCCAAATCACATCATCCGCCATTATGGAGAGAACCACGACGCATGCATGTGCTTTCCTCTGCACCTGATGTCCTTACTTCGTTTCTGGGCCTAGGTACATTTCAGTTGCATTGCTGTCTATGGAGGGCTAAACTGTAGGGCCTAAGCTGCATTTTGTTTGGATCATGATTAATACGCAGTGGTTGCCTCTAATTTTAGCATAAATGGAAAGAGCACAGACAAAGCCTTAGTTTGTTTATATGAAAATATTTATTTTACTTGTGTAGCTTACTTATTTGATGTGGGGTTTGTTTTAAAATTTCAATTTAGTTTTGATGGGCCTACATTTCCAATTCCCAAAGAAACGTGCAATAGCCTAATAAAAGGACACCTTTTCATTTACTGCAGGGATGTCCAACCCTGCTCCCGGAGAGCTACCGTCCTGCAGACTTTAGTTCCAACCCTGCTCCAGCACACCTGTCTGTAATTATCAAGCAACCCTGAACACCTTGATTACTTGGTTCAGGTGTTTGATTGGGGTTAGAGCTGAAATCTGCAGGATGGTAGCTCTCCAGGAGCAGGGTTGGACACTCCTGATTTACTGTATAATGTCTTCAATCTCATTTTGTTAAAAAAAAATCATGATTCCAAAATCGAATCTTGGAATCGAATCAAATCGTGAGTTGAGTGAATCGTTACATCCCTACAGTATATTCAAAATTCTGCTGCTAGACTACTCACCCACACCAAACGCTCTGACCACATCACTTCAATTTAGTTCAATCTCCATTGGCTTCCTGTTGCATACTGTATTAAATACAAAATTCTCCTGCTCACTTTTAAATCATTGCATAACCTGGCTCCCCGGTATCTCTGTGAACTGCTACACCCCAAATTGCTCATTATCCTCCTCTGGTTCTGGTCTTCTCAGTATCCCTCTGTATCGCCTTCAATGGGGGGTAAATCATTCACTGTTGCTGCACCAAAACTTTGGAACTGCTAGTTCCATTTCATCATATATTTTGGGAATATTTTGAAAGAAAATACAATAGACACCATTACAAAATTTTTAATGGTTTTACTGATTATAATGGGATTTGTATTGGTTTTATTAGAAACTTTAATGGACCCTATTGGTCTCTACTGGTAATTGGTTGCCCTCTATTGGTGGCTTGTTAAAACCAATAAATCCTAATGGAACATGTCCCAAAACACACTACAGAAAACCATTTTTAAATGGTTTTAATGGTTAAAAGTTGATGGTTTGTAATATCTGTAATGGTTATTTGTAGTGGAAACCATAAAAAATGTTCTGTGATGGTTTTATTGTTTTTTTTTCAGTAGGGACATAAGCCTATATCAGTTAATACAGTGGTATTGTGGCTGCTGTGTCACATGACAAGCATGAGAGCCCCCCCCCCCCCCCCCCCCTTTGCTCCCCCAAAATAAACCGACACTACAATTTGAAAATGCAGCACTTTTCAGTTTGTTTAATAATCATTCATAATAATACTTCATTGTCCAATTTCAATCTTCAATCTGCTAAAATGCCATTAAAATTCATAGAAATGTGACTATTTACGATAGAGGTCAAAATGGTTGACTTATCTATCTGGTGTTTTTAATATGCTTAATGACAAATCATGTCCAAATTCATCAGTCAACATTTTCTCTTAAAACTGCAGTTTGAAACAGCCCATTTCCTCCAATCACAAACGGATAACTAGAGCCCTACTTGATCATGTATGGATGATTTTCCCCAAAGGATTTTTGATTTTCTTGATCCTGCTCCTGCTGCATTTCTGACCATTACTGACTCCATCATTCTTGTTATTCTCCAAATCGTGGGACTGCAGGATTGCACAACCCCGCGCTACATTTTTTTGACCGCCATGAGATTTGCGGGATCCCAATCCTAATCCCGCCCTCTACACGTAACCAATCCCATCAATTTGTGGGATAGGGCTTTGCATTCATTAGCAATTTGGGTAAATTTGAAAAGTAAATAGCAGTGGTGGACAGTAACGAAGTATTTTTACTTTATTACTGTACTTAAGTAAAAATGTTTAAGTATCTGTATTTTACTGGAGTTTTAACTTTTACTTCACTACATTCCAAAGTATAAGACTTGTAGCGTCTGGAACACTCCAACACACAATATATATTTTGTTAGCTAGATTTCACAAATACTTTGTAACACCCCAGGACGCCGAACAAGACCCTGGTTTCATGGTAACCCGATACATTTACAACCTTGTGGAATGCGAGCCGGCTCTCATTCTGCTTTCTCCAGAAACAAAGGGACACAAATGCACAGGAGAAATGGACTTTTCTACTAATTAATTCATAGGAAAACCTTCTTTGAATGAACACCCATTTTCTTCAGGCCATTGTGTATATTATTGCTGTGTTGTATTTAATCTGTTGTATTATAGACTATTTTTATTCATGCTTACGATAAACCACTCATTCATATAAGTAACTCTACCATGTCTAGTATCTATGAATTCGTCTTCGGATGATCTAACTGAGAGTGCATATTACATGCTGATACCTCTGCAACATATTGATGTTCTAAGAATCATTACTAATTTCTGCATCAACACTCAAGTGAATTACATATGCAAAATACCATGCTTAGAGACAAAGGGCCATAAAAACGCAGAACTCCCACTTGAGATTCCGGACTTCCCCATTGGGCAAGCCCATCTTGAGAGGCTTGAATCTCTGCAGGCTTTAAAGGCCACACTCCATGTGACCCGCCCTGTTCGGTGGTTCAGTGAGATGCTAAGATGAAGATGTGAGAAACGCTCCAGGATACCAAAGCTCGTGCCAGGCTCCGGCCTAGTCCTTTTTATTCATCAAGTGATTCTGACTCAAACTAGCTCTTTTTCATCAACCAACTTCAGCAAGATCTTGGGGCCTTAAGATTGCATCAGGAATCTTTTTCAGACATACGCAAGTATCAAACTTAGTCGATTTAATTGATGCATTAAGTATCAGTTACACCTTTTTACAAGGTTTGTTTGAACTAAGAATCTGACGTTTTCCCTCAGGTTTTAGATCTGCTGAATATGCAAAATGGTTCCATAAATGTCATTCCTTATGTGTCTTTCTTTAGTGCTAAACTTTAACCCTTTCCTATACCAACTGTATGTGTGTGTGTGTGTATGTGTATGTTAGACCGGCTTAATGTGTTTATGTAGTATGTTAGACTAGTTTAAGTGTTTATGTAGTTAATAAAACCTTACTTGTATCACACTTGACGTGTTCATTGTTTACTCATAACCGGAGTCAATAATCATGCAGATTTACGTTACAAACTTATAGAATTGTACAGTAAGAAAGTTATTTCCTTTAACCAGGAAATTAACGTTCTTAGAATTGACAAGACGGTTGACCCTGAGTGGTCAGCTAAATATCTACAGTGGATCTAAAATATTAATAATTAATCATAATTAGTTATGGTTAATTATTCATATTTCCTGATGTGAGCTAAATTCGCTACAGACTGTACTTTTTACTCCACTACATTTCATAAAACATATCGTTACTCCTTATTTTGAAATGAAGAAATCATCACTTGCTCGGAGACACAAACTGATTCTTTTCAATGAACCTTTTAAATCTGTTTGCAAATCACACCAAACGATTCATTTGTGAACTGGACTGATCCGACTGCAGCTGTTCTCGAGTCAGCAACTCACTGATTCAAATGATCTGTTCATAGCAGGCTCCAGTGAACTGTATTCACAAGTCTGACAAGAACCCGGGATGCCCTGAGCAGTGTTGGGGAAAGTTACTTTTAAAAGTAATGCAATACAATATTGCGTTACTCTGTAAAGAAGTAACCAATTACGTTACTTAGTTACTTTTTATGGAAAGTAATGCGTTACATTACTTTTGAGTTACTTTTTAAATATGAGCAGGACTTGATTGTTTTTAATATAAGAAGTTCTATTTATAGCAAATGTAAAAGCCCTTTCACACCAAAAAGTGTAATGAATAAACCTCAGGCTGAAGGAAAAGTAAATTCACGTCTGTACAGTAGAACGCAGGAGAAGAAACACTAACAATTGTGCTTCATTGTTTTTCTAAAGTTTCAAGTTTATCTAAAGTCATTTTTTCGGTTACACTTTACTTGAAGGGGTGTGCATAAGACTGACATGACACCTTCATAATCATGACATGACACGTCATGAATATGAAGGTTTTTCATGCATGTTAATGACAACTGTCATTAAGTGTCATTCGCTCAGTTATGTAATTTTTAATGCAAAGATGACATTGTTTGAGATGTCTTTGTTATGGGCTATGGTTAGGGGTAAGGGTAGGGTTAGGTCAAATAATGTCATATTTGCATTAAAAATGACATAACTGAGCGAATGACAGTTGTCATAAACATGCATAAAACCTCATGTCAGTCTTATGCACACCCCTTCAAGTAAAGTGTTACCATTTTTTCTTGTTAGTACAAAAAACAGGCAAGGCAAGGCAAAACAAGGAAAACACGGAGACTCGGAAAGGGGTACAGGCTAAACAATACTCAGCAGAGAAATGTGGTTAGAGTGGGTGTTATATAGTGAG